TTTCAATTTGGCTGTATGTACTTTACCATTTTCGACTGTGTTGTTGTCTGTAACTTGCAAGAACCATATTGGTTAGTGACATTTAAGAGCTCTCTGGTATTCAGGGACACACATCCACCAACAGAGCCCAAACAAAGTCTTAATTCAACATAAAACTAAGCTTTCAAATGTGTGAGTGGAGTTAGATGTTTTTGCACAGTGTCAACAACTAACTGGGTCATTTAGCACTGAGTCCAATTCCTGCTTTTCCTAAATCACTGCAGTTCCTATATATAAACGTCTAACCTGCGCAGGACCCAGTTCAAACAGAAAGCAGTGCAAAAGCTGCTAATACAGAGAGGAAAGGTAGATGTTTCAAACTACGTTGCTCTAACTGGATTAGTGGGAAGTTGAAAAGGAAACGAGAGTAAGAGGGGATTTACACACTAACACAATCTGGGTTGTTGGTGGAGGAACTCCTCTTTATCAATTAGCACAGCTTGATGTGGAGGATTTGTGCAATGTGATGTTTGTAAACAGCTAGATTATGAAGCATTGAGCACAATTATTGAATCCTGTTTGCAGTTTTTGATCAGTTGTCCGCCTCTGTGGTATCAAAGCACAGAATTGCAGCATTCTTTCAAGCTCCTCTCCCATTCACGACAGACTCATTTGGTTCTTTGACAGATTTTTTCAAAGGGGGTTATGCACTTGTTTGTCAGCATAAAGCCGAAGCTCAAGCACAAACGAAGAGAGCTCAGAGATCAAATCGCAGCCTTGGGAAGAACCACAGGATCTTTTTGCAGACACACTATACAAATGACTCAGTGTCTGTCCAGTGTGCCAATGTGTAATTGACGGTTGTGGATAAGTTATAGTACATATTTTACAAATCCCTCTCCAGCTTTTTTTTCTGCCTTTAAATGCATCTTTGTGGGATTCACTGTGCAGCTATAGGGTGAATCATTCTCTCTGTCTCCTTTCTTCGTATCCTGCAGTTCAGGTGACTTACAGTAAAGGTTCTCTTTGTAGTCAGGAATTGGGTTAAACATCTCTTGCTCAGGGCATAAATCAGATTTAGTTTGGTTAGTCATTTAGTTATTTTGGTTGGATTGTGTCTAACGGTGGCACCACCAGTTATTTTGGTCAAAGGTAGCCTAAAATAGTGGCACCACCAAAACAGTTTTGGATATGGCAGATTTGGTGTGTGTGTGTGTGTGTGTGTGTGTGTGTGGGGCAGTAAATAGAGACTTAAAAGACAGCTGAAGACACAAGGATGTTCTTAAAGTCTTTGGGTGGTCCAACCTCTCCGGGAGATTCAGCCTACTTTTTGCGAGTGCCAACGCCGAACAGTGGTCATTATTAGCAGACAAACCAACCCCACCAGGCTGGGATTACCTTCCAGCCAACTGCAGATGTGAACGTCTAAACAATTCTCCCACTCTGTTTTGACATGCTCTATTACAGGTTCTGCATCCTGCACCAGATCCAGAAAAAAATTGACAGCTAAATGAAATCATTCATTTTCTGGTCTGATGTCATCCAAAAATTGCCATAATTGCCCAGGCCTGGCGTCTCTGGTCTGTGACTGGCAGAGACACCAGCGCTGGGTGAGGTGCACGGAGAGGAAAGTAGACTGGTGGATGTTCCCTCTTGGATCTGTGTTAACTCTTTGTCTGTGAAAGCATGTGGGATGTACGCTACAGTGCGGTAAGGGGCGCGGGACCACTTTCTTCTGTCTGCTTGGAAAGCTCGACCAGCACAGTAGGCCCTTTAACTTTCTACAGCGCTCAAAGCAAAGACAAGATATGACTTGATGTGGTCAGACCCCAGAGGCTAATGATAGACTCTGAAACCCAGCAGCAGAGGCTCAGGGTACTTCAGTGCAGCGTATGGGAATGCACACAGATGCAGTTATGTAACCACGCAGAGCCACCAAGAATCCAGAGAGAGGGGAGATTCACCGACTGCACAACACACCAGGGATCTATTCCTTTCAGCTGTCTCAGGGAAAACCAAGCTTTTATGTGTAGGGTTTTCTCCTTTGACATGGCGGAGGAATTATTCAGATTCTTTTACTCCAGTGAAAGTAGCAATGCAACAATGTAAAAATACATACATATATAATATATATTATATTACATTATATAGTATATATTATAAGGGAAAAGAGGGGGCTTGATCAACTCACTCAGGGATCACGATCACAGTGAATGAATCATTGAACATGCATTGTTCCCTTGCAGTGAAAGGAGTAAGTCCCTGCATGTTTGCTTACAACTGACTGAGAGCTCAAATTAACTGAGAAATGAGCATATTGTTTAAGTATGTGATTCAGTTCATTTGGTCAAAAAATTCATTCTTTTGAATGAAACGTTCACAAACAACACGAGACAGCTCTGATATACCCACCCACCAGTGGCGTAAGGAAGTCGTGAAGGGCCCAAGTGCACGCGATTTTGCATGTATTGTTTTGACACAAATACAGACTTGACATTGAACAACATCAACATACATATTACCCAGCAATCATCACTGCATATCTGACAAAAATATCATAGAAAATGGGAAATTAATCATTTAATTGAATGTTTTTTTTGTATATTTATAGACTTTATAGCTTATGTAGAAAAAGCATATAACGTTGTTTTAGTTAGCTACTGACTATGTCAAAAAATAAAAATAATTAAAACCATGACGCAGATGGATTTATCTTTTTGAGGACATACTGTATATAGCAAATGGCACTGTTCTTAAATTAATAATATTCTTTTTTAAATCATTTCTCTTTAAACACTGGTATATTTCCAAAGTGACATTCGAATCACTTGCAAGGGCACGCTCTCTCTACGGGCCCCTCCACCCCAGGGGCCCCAGAGCTGCACTGCCTGCACTGTCTATATTTACGCCCCTGTCACACACTGTACACCATCTGCTCAGCACCAAACAGCAGCTAGAAGTCACAGCTAGTGAACGTTTGGCAGCTAAGGAGCCAGAGTCCAAAGGCAGAGCTAAAAGAGAGCAAATATTTGACATATATTCATCAGATGGACACAAGCTCTAAACCTATTAATTGTACTTAAGTGCAGTACTTGACTTAAAGTTCTTCTCCTTTATGACTAATATTGATGAAGGGAAAATGCAATATTTCTTAATATTTTGTGCACCAGCCTGATTTGATGTTTAAGAACAGGGCTGGTAAGTACACGGCGCACTTTTCTTAAGAATGAAGAGATCAGACAGTTTATTTAGTCCGAGCGTCTGGGAAAGAGGTCACAGGTTGCAGAAGGGGGAGCAGCTCCTTTTCCTCATCCTCTGCCTCTTCTTTCCACAGCCTCAAAGCCGAAGGGTTTAGTACACGGAGTTTAAAGGACGTTGATCTTGATCACTGGTTCTTCCTCTTGGCCTGCTTCCTCTCTTACCTCACGGATAGCTGTCCCACTTCTCCAGTTGGCCCAGCACTACCTCTACCTGCCAGACACCCTGCCTGTCTTCAGGCGGAGGCAGGGGACGGGGTTATACTCTCAGCCTGTTGTGTAAGAGCGTTGTAAAGAGATAATACTCTTTGCTCAAGACGAGCTTTCAGACTGTACTTTCACCCACAGTCATTAACACAGTTATCTTCAAATCCCTGCGCCACAAACAAGAGCGTCACAGTTCGCTCTTGGATTAATTATTGGAACATGCTTCATATTTCAGGGTTTTTAATTGAACACGCTGTTGTATAAAGAAAAATCCACACACTTACACTTTACCTTTAGGGCAGACGTTTAAGTTTTCCAGCCAATACTGTTCTGTAATGATATACAATTATGTTAGGGAGCATTGCTGTCTACATAAACTGTCCATATAAACTGTTGGGTATGTTCTAGACAGAGAGATCCAAACCAATTAAAACCTCAAAACATTCATCCCACTGATACTTGATCTGACTTCAAAAACAAACTGTTGCGACTTGCATCTCTCATGTCCTCGCTTCCCACAACTGTGGAGACATCCAGCAGCAGGGACGTCTCTAAGATCTGAACTGTAGCGGGGCTCCGTTCCCAGTAGACTGTGGGAGTAAGTCTTCATGCCTCTCAGTACTGGGAGCGTGTTTCCCCTGGAAGAGATTTGCTATGAAAACAGTCTGTAAGTGATTGCTTCCAAGAAGTTGTCAGAGACGATATATAAACACATTTTCTTTTTTTACAAGGATACAAAGGACCTTGCAGAAATCACTTGCTCGAGTAATCTCGAGTAATTTCATTCTGTGAATGTTTGTTTAACTGACCTCAGCTAACTCACTGTGCACACCACAAGACTCAAAAGGAAGACTGTGAGCTGCACAGACTTGTGCAATTACAGGCTCAAGTCACTTTAAATAATATAATTCCAGCTCAATATTAGGATCAGTTAGCACCACTTCAAACGCTGGGTGTCTCCGCAAACAGCCCCATCTGTCTCAGCAGTCACACTAACAATAAATGCTTCTGCAAACAGGTTCATTAAAAAGAAGAAAAACACACTATTCAAAAGGCTCAATCTCTATACAGTGTCAGTGTAACATTGCAAAACATGCATTGCAAAATATTTCATATTTGCAGGAAGTGAAAGGAAGCAAATGTGATAGCTGGTTCATAAAGGTCAGAGTGTCCAGTTCAACAGGAAATATTAAAAGTAAATTCTTCTGAGAGGATCTGATCATTTGGCCTGTGAAGAGCTACACCGCAGCGCCCTCTGGTGACAAACACGTATGAAGAAATATAACAATCCAAACAGAAACAGTTTTTTGTTTTTTAACAGCATAAACGAAAGTGAAAATGTTGCTTGACGTCCATTACAGAGCTGTACACAGATTACAAACTCCAGTGGCTTAAAAAACCCTGATAAATCTGTGTTACCTCTTGTAAAAGTTGTGTGTGAGGTAATAACCATGTAGTGAACTGTGATCAAGTTTCAGGCTGAACTTTGGCACTTCAGCAGCAGCTGGCACTGCTGTGCAAATAACTGGTGATATCATGCAGCCAAAATACAGACGTACATGAGACAGAATGAAGAGCCAATGAGATTAAAGATCACAGATTTGCTGCTTCAACAGACAGTTTGACTCTTTGAGCGAACTTTAAACGAATCACCTTGAGAATTAGATATTTGCGTTGTGCCATGTGTCCATTTGAACGTCTATATTTAGTTGTTGTCATGTGTCGTGCAGCGGGTCAGCTGGGATCCTGCAGCAGGACACGCCTCTGGGCTGAATGGAGCACGCGCCGTGCGTAAAGTCCGACCTGCAGCGGATCCAAACTTTTATTTTGGACCTAATTTCACGGTTTTTAAGAAGTATCTAATCGACATTATTGAGTTGTTTCTATTCGATTAAATGCAGCGATGACGCGGGAGGAAGATCTCATTCGGATTGCAAAAAAACTGGACAAGATGGTGTCTCGGAATAACACGGTGAGACCATATTTTGACACCCACAGGTGGCGCATTGTCCTACCACCTCGTGCTGTGCAGAAGGCCCGTGAATGTCTCTCCTGGAAATGGATTCTACCAGATTTACGTTGGCTATAAGTTTGATTTCATTTGAGCGGGTGTATTTGTAAAGTGTGCACATTTGTAACACGAGCCTGACTGTGCTGTAACAAATGATCAACAGGTGTTTGGCGCTGGTTTGCAGACTGTTTGCGCGCCGGACGTTTTGGTCCCTGAGTGTGTGGCGCGATACGGACCAAGTGTTGTGAATGCATCGAGTAGTTTTTTGCAACTCTTTGCTTGTTGTATTAAACAGTGACTCATGCAAGATAAAGTAAACAAGGCGGCCTGTGGGCAAGGTCGTGTGTGTGTGTGTGTGTGTGTGTGTGTGTGTGTGTGTGTGTGTGTGTTTTGACTGGCTGCAAACAGGACGTTGTCAAATGGCGCTCTTTCACAGTGCACAGTGAGGGTAACGTTACAACAGTAAAAACTATGGTTTCTAGAATAAAGTAAAAAAAAATGGCCATTTAACTTTCTGTTGTAATAGATTATTTAAATTTATGAAATCAGTATGTATTTTTTAAAAATACAGATGAAATCTTAAATACAGAAGTGAAAGTGTTGGTGCGACTCATCAGTTTGTACTTTCCTTTTTAAAATGGTCACATTTGCATGCAATCAAATCTGCATTTTACACTGTCATTACATATTTCTACATAAATACACTCAATATTTATAGATTAAAACTGTAAATATGGTTGCCTCTTAAATATTTTATGTGTGCAGGAGGGCGCCATGGACCTGCTGAGAGAACTGAAAGGTTTCAATATGACACTCAAACTTCTCCAGGTAGGCTGCAGTGTATTGTTTAGTAGAGCACACTTTCCCCATTGCTTTCCAACCAGTTACCTACTTGTTACTCACGTACCAACATGAACTGCATTATTACTAAAGCTCTCAATGTATATTTATGTATGTCCGTTTTAGGAAACAAGGATCGGTATGTCTGTGAACGGCATCAGGAAGCACTGCACGGACGAGGAAGTCATTGCCTTGGCAAAAGTCCTCATTAAAGACTGGAAAAGACTTCTGGGTACTTGATTTTGATGCATGATTTACTGAGCAGTTGTTTGTGCAATAAATATGTCAATGGACTGATTGATTCGCTGATATGTGATCCCCCTTCCCCTCCCACAAACACTCCCACAGACTCTGAGAAACCATCTGAAATGAAGAATGGATTGGACCCAGCGGTGTCTCCAAACAGCTCCCCCTCTGAGACACACAGCAGGTCAGTACTTTCACAGCTGCTGCTGCACAGAAACTCCACAGGCAACATGATATTTAACACAGAAGCAGAGACAATAAAGTTCGGACCCACAGTGGTGAGTGCGACCTGCCTGCTTTCATTTAATGTTGAAATGATGTGGGATTATGACGGAAATGCCATACATGCCACAGTGCACCACACTACACTTTTACATGTACACAGACACCTGCTGTGAAAAATAGCTCAGCCCCAGCAGCTCTGTCAAAAAGCACTCAAGAAATTAAAAGCTGAAAGAAAGTGTCAGGAGTTAAACTGTAGCTGCCTATCCAGTAAATCAGTACGTAAAGACATCTGTTTGTGTCTTTGCCATGGAAGCTTTTAGATCACTGTTTTCTCAAGTGGACATGTGTCAGTAAAGTGTCCAAACAAAGACAATATACAGCACCAAGGATGGTGCTTTATGATTAGAATGTAAAGGAATCAAAAATAAAAATGATAAAAGAAGCCTCATTTCATGTCAGATTTTCCAGTGATGCACCATCAACTGTATTCATGTGCTCTAACGGCTAAATTAATTATAATGAATGGCTTTGTAGTGTGTATGTGTTTGCTTGGGTATTACTGCGATCAGATTAGGACATCGGAAATTAACGTTGCAGTCTAGGCACACGTGATGATGTACGCTTCTGTTAAGGAGGCTGTCAATTAGTTTTTTCAAAGTAGTCCTATTTGCAAATGAAAGTGTGGAGCCTTTCTAAAGAGGCTATGAAATATGTGATGTCCTTCTGTTCGTTTTTGTATGAAGTTTTCATCTGAAGCAGTGAATTCTCTTCTTGGACTGCGTTTATTGCGGTAGAGGGGATTTCAGTATTACCTGTGCTGGTCAGTACCACAGTAGTAGAACCACAAAGAGCTGTGACACAGGTATAGGTTGAGTGTTGAGGGATCTATTAAGCCTAGTCCCAATTAAACGGCCAGTCTCTTTTACTAGCCCGGTGTGGCTCAACATTTTGACAAATAAATGCCTGTCTCAATTAGAGGCCTGATCTGGTTGCCAAACAGTTTGTTTTTTTAATAGAAGTTCTTCGGATGTATAAAACTGAGCTGTTGGCTACCTCAAATTATGTGTTCACTCCTCGATTACCCGGTAAATTATTCATACACCTTTAGTCTGTAAGGGTCCTCAGATCAAAATAATCAAAAGGGTTTTTCATAAAAATGAATCCTAGTGGTGAGTATTGTTTTAACAAGATAAAGTGGTGTTGTGTTGGTATGCCAGGGGCCGTAATCTTTGAGTGCTGTAACTCTCTCTGATGCGCTGTCTGTTGGAGCTAGGTCAAATGAATGATTCATAACTGATATATTATCTGAAGCCTAATTTTTAAACAAGTAATATTCATGCTGGTTCAAATAAACAATTTGATTGTATTTCTTGATCTTTGCTGAGCCTCCAGTTTCGTATGAAAGGAATAGCCTGTCCCAAATAAAGGCCTGTTGATTTCAATGATTTAAGCAAATAATAGTATAATGTTACAAAGATGGCTGTTCAAATAATGAGAGAAAGATATGTGAAAGTAATCCCTCTGAGCAAAAACTTCAGGCTTCAGACTGTTCTGAATACTCTGTTTGTAGCAGTTCTTTCTACTTTATCTATGAGCTGATGTCAGCTTATGACAGATTTCTTTATATGGTCGTCTGCTCCAGGCACACTACACCAGTGCTGTGTCTCAAATCGCGTACTTCTGTACTTACACTTAATATGTTGAGTGCATAAGTGCGTTCACACTGAGAAGTATGTAAAAATGCAGTGCAATGAGTACCCGGATGATGCACTCAAAACGGTCAAGAAGTTGAGTGTGGAACTAAGGACACTTCTCGCCCTCAATGGTCGCCATCTTGGCTACGTAGCGGAAGGGGAGGGACTACTTTTCAAACTGGTAATGGCGGCCGAGGACTGTGCGACCGTGAACATCGCTGCATTGTACAAATTTAAGTTATGTGTTTTTTGCACCAAGCACCACTAAACTATTGTAACCAGCAGTATGTTTATTGGGTTAATATAGCAGTCTGTAATGATTTGGTACTGCGAACGATAACGCGAATGCTAATGCTAGTTGCGGTCGTCATTTCCGGTGAGTGCACAACGGCCGTGTTTGGTTTGAGACAACATTACCCTGTCGAAATTTGCGCACTATGCAAATAAGTACATAGTGTACATAGTATACTGCATGGAAGTGTACTAAGGGAAGTATGTGATTGGAGACACACTACAAGTGTTACACGATTACATTCACTGCTACATATAGCTACATGCTAACGTCAGGGAAACACTGAGGACTTGAAACCAGTTCCTACTAGAACATGTCTGGTTGTGTTTAGAGGCTTAGAAAACTCTTTGTTACAGTTATTTCCCTGCTGCAGTGACGTTGCAGAGACACTGAGATACAGACGACCCGGAAATGCTGACCAATCAGAGCAGACTAGGTTTTTTATGGAGAGAGGCTTAAAGAGACAGGTGCTAAAGACAGAGGGTGAATACAGGTGCTCCAGCACAGACAATCTGATAAAAAAAAAAATCTAGTGCTTTTTGAACATTAAAGTATGTAAACATGTTCTTGGAGAAACTCAAAATACAAGTATGAACCTGAAAATGATCATAACAGGTCCCCTTTAACATCAGTCAAGTCATGCAATGAAGGGGAAAGTTATGATAAACTTAATGACTGCCAGTTCATTAAATGGGTTGTTGGATCTATTTAATTCCATCCACATGGGACCTAAGATGCATTACAACAACAAACATGACCTAAGTGAAACTGGTAAATGTTTGCAGGCTCTGAAACAGAGGTGAAGATGATACTTCCTTTGTTTCTCTTAGTCACAGGAGACTGGACATTAAACCGAAACATGACTCAGATCCTGACAAAAACCACCCCAATAAAAACAGAAAAGAAAAACATAATGACGATCACAAAACCAAAAAGAGACACACCGATGATGCCAGCGATGAAAAGCACCCGGAGGAGCCCCAAAATGAGAAACATCCCCAAGAAATCAGAAAGAAGAAGCATTTAGAAGAGCCCAAAAAACAAAGACATGCAGAGGATGCCCAGCACGAAATGGATAACAAGAAACAGAAGCATGTGCAAGACCTGCAGAGTGAGAAACACAAGCCAGAACCGAAAAAAGAAAGGCTGTTAGGAGAACCAAAGAAGATGAGACACGTAGAAGATGTCAAAAAGGAAAAACACCCAGAGGAGCCCAAGAAGCACAGCTACACCGATGACATGAAGAAGGAGAGACACAGAGAAGAAAGCAGATATGAGATGCCGATAAACTCACCGCATCGAGAAAGACCGCCGACTGAACTTCAGAGAGAGAAACCTGCAGATTACAAACCACTGTTTGAAAGGTGAGATGGAGGTGGCTCAAAAGCTGATTATTACACATCAAAAACATGCAGCAGAGGTTCAGACTGAGTTGTTTATTTCAGGAGAGGAGTGTTGGACAGCAGTATTCTGTATCCCTCCCGGTTCCCCTCTCCTCCTCGACCTGTTCGGCCTCCTCTCCCGATCAAACGCCCCTCTGTGGACCTGAAAAAAGACAGGTCAGGACTGTTACCTCGCCTGAGCTGAAAGGCATGGTGGACTGAAATATTACTGCATGACATAACCGATTCTGAGTCACTCATATGCACTGACATTTGTTCCTACACTTTAATAACCAGACTCGTGGCCTAACAGGATAACGGCTGTGCATGATGCATGCTGGGAAGGGTCAGTCAAGTGTGTCTTTCATAAAAGGATTTTGTATTTAGCTGGAACAATTTCACCGACCCTTGAATTTGTACTGTTGTGACATTTCTTCAGGAAGGACAGTAAAGACTCCCGACATCCTCGTCCTCACGCTCCTCGACCCTCCTCTCCGCCAGCTAAGCGACCTTCACTGGAAGTAAAGAAAGAGAGGTCAGGCATGCTTTGGTGCTTGTTTGAGTGTAGTGCAGAGAAGTGTGAGATTTTTATGGAAACTCAAAACAAATGTTGATTTTCACATCAGGAAAGTTCCACCAGAACCAAACACTCCTCTGATTACTCCTCCTTACCTCCTTCCTCCTCCACCCAGGTCAGCGCCTGCATGCCCACTGCATTGACTCACATATATATTTACCATAATATCCACTCTCATCTTTAAGCAACTCAGATGAGCTCAAAGTTTTTTTCCTCATTTAGAAAGGAGCCTCCTGATCCCAACGCTCCTCTTCCTCCACTTCCTCTTCACCTCCACCCCCCACCTCCACCCCCGAAGCGTCCCTTACTGGAAGGAAAAAAGGAGAGGTCTGGATCAGATGTGTTCTCATTACAGACCACATGTAGTTGCCGCCTGAAGTGTCTCGGAGGATTATTTTGGAAAAAAGAACATGTAATTTGATTTGGAGTTCTCTGCATTGAATCTTTGTGTCGTTTGCCACGGCAGGAAGGAGTCGTCAGACTCTAAACCTCCACAGAAGAAGACGTCAGGAGATCACGTGAAGAAAGACAGGTCTGGGATCTGGGGATTATTCTGTCTCTCATTTATCCTTGAAAAAATACTTCGCTGTTGTCTCTGGAGGATCAGTAACCTTAGATTACAATCTGTTTTTTGTTTGTTTTACTCGAAACATGGACACAATATAGTACACGACAGCAGGTATGGAATTGAGTCACAGATTTGATGACTTAAAACTCCACTGGGCAAATTAAAAAAAGACTCGAAACTCCCCTTGGACTTTAACACCAACGACTCATGATTTCACTTGGACTTGAACTTGAAAATGCTTGATACCTTCCCCCAAACCCAAAGATTAAAAAGCAAGTGCGCCACAAATCAATCAATTTCCCTTCTTTTCCTGAATCAACTAACATTACCGCTGACCATTCCCAGCAAGTTGACATTTAATTCCTAAGATCCACTTTGTTTAAATCAATCTGACAACATCCAAGCAAGTTGCAGGTAAGAACAATAAAGAACTAAGGTTATACATAAATTATACTAAGATAATGTTTTGCCTACAAAAACTATGTGATGGTCAACAAAAAACAAATCGCAGTATGATAAAATGTTATTACGTTTGGTGAGGAGCGCAATAAGGATGGTTTAGAACTTGACACTCAAAGTTTAGGACTTGTCAGTCTTGGCTTGGGACTTCAATGCAAAGACTCGAGACTTACTTGTGACTTGCAAAACAATGACTTGGCCCCACCTCTGTATGACTGTAATGCAGTGTGTGATGCTGTTAAGAGAGTTGTATCAGCTTTTTCTTTTTGCGTGACTATAAAGGGGACATCAAATAATAATATCTGATGTTTTTTGAACCCTTTTGTCTGATCGTATTTCGAAGGATTAACTTTAACACATTAAGGTTTATGATTTTCCACTGTTTAACTATTGTTCTCCCATTGCTTTAATACCCATATATGTTTGGAAATCATTCACATCTTCAAACTGGTGTAACTCACTGTAAAGAAAACAAAGAGCCTTGTTAGAACAAAGCCTGTTTTCTTTTTGCAGGAAAGACTCATCGGATAGCAAAGTGCCTAAAAAACACTCCGATGAAGCCAAGAGAGAAAGGTTGGCCAGTCATGAGTGTGAAAATGCTCGTTAAACTGTGAATCATGGTGGTTGTGTAGTTCGACTATGAGTTTCTTAAAGCAGCTCTTTGTTACTTTTCTGTGCATGTGGAGCTTGTCTTTTTATAGTTTAGGATTTGTTTGAGAATCAAACAAATGTTTCCTTTTGTCAGGAAAGATTCATCTGACTCTAAAGCGTCACCTCCCAAAAAGCCCAGTGTGGATGTCAAAAAAGAGAAACACAGGTGTGCACAAGCAGGAAAATAAATTTCACTGTTCATTGCGTTTGAATCTGTGCTGCTTTATGTCGGGCATAATGTGTATATTATTGGTGTCAGTGTCACAACTCTGTCTCCTTTGCTGCAGGAAGGACTCCTCAGACTCCAAGCCTGGCCAGCCTGTGAAACGTCAGTCAACTGACTCCAAACCTGACAGGTAGGACTGGTATGCACTACTTTAAATATTGTTCATTGTTGTAAATGAAATAGAAATAACATGGTCAGTAAAACCAGATTTACTTTCTTGTTCCTGACTATAGGCGGGAATCCACTGATTCAAAGAAAAGTAGCTCACCACCAGCAAAGAAGCTAACAGGCGAAAGGTAAATCGTCTTTATTAAAGTTTCACAGGTTTGTTTCAATGGAAACCATGAAGATGATGATATTAACTTTGTGTTACAGAAGAGAGTCTCACGGCTCCAAGGCTTCTCAGCCTGGACCAACACAGAGGAAGCCCTCGACTGACAGCATGGAAAGGTATTTCAGTCAACTTTTAATAATACTTAAGCTATTGTGGGTAATCCATGGCATCTGGTTGGGGAATGATTTAACTCATCCCGACCTTAAAGGAATAGTGCACCCAAAAATGAAAATTCAGCCATTATCTACTCACCCATATGCCGACGGAGGCCTTGGTGAAGTTTTAGAGTCCTCACATCCCTTGCGGAGATTGGCGGGGGGAGCGGCTAGCACACCTAATGGCTGACGGCGCCCCAGACTAACGTCCAAGAACACAAAATTGAAACCACAAAATATCTCCAACATGCTCATCCGTAGTGATCCAAGTGTCCTGAAGCCCCGACATAAAAAGTTGTTTTGAAAAACGTCATTTGAACTCTGTTTTTAGCCTCACTGTAGCCTGTAGCTCTGACTGCTTCTCTGTGCTCTGCGCTCTAAAACTGGACTCTCAAACTTCACCAGGGCCTCCGTCGGCATATGGATGAGTAGATAATGGCTGAATTTTCATTTTTGGGTGCACTATCCCTTTAACAAGATGGCTGTATGGTTGCTTTTCCCAAGCGTGGGCAGCAGTGATCCACAGCAGGACGGAGACATTAGCTCAATCCAAATGACACACCAGTCCTCTTTCACTGTAAATCACATGCCTCCTCTCCTCTTGGCAGAGTCCTCTGCTCTGTCAGATCAGCATATAGAAAAAGAGTCACCTGGTCCTGTCCAGGGTTAGCCAAGTTTCTGTGAATCAAAGGATTAGAGTTCCTGTTATGCCATTAGAAACTGATGCGGTGCAGGGGTCGTCCAGTTCATTTCAAATATCTGTACAACGGCTAGCAGGATGCTAATTCAGCTGGTGCTCATTCTTCCCCATCTTTGCATAGTGTTTACTGATGTTTACATTTGAAACCTCAACCTGGCAAGCTAACCACTAGCTAGCAGAAGTCAGCAGAAAGAGTTTCCACCTGGTGAGTTGATGTCCTCATCCTGATGAGTGACTCACAGATGCTGCCGTTGAAAGGCAACCGCAAAAAGCACCACCAAGACTTGCAAAATAGACTTAAAAGCTGAAATTTAGCCCAAATTTAGCAGAGCTGACAGAGAGGCGACTGGAGGCGTCTGCACCAACAAGTCAGATATTTCTCTCAGGAGTTGGTGGAGACCGAAAAAACAGCTGAAACAGAGAGAACATTGGTCTTACATGCTGGTGGAATGGCCAAATGCACAAATCCAAATCAATTCTTCTGTTTTGCCTGCTGGATGTATAATTGGCAATCGTTTGCTAACATGTTAGTCATTCTAAAAAGGTGCTAATATGTCAGTGTGTTCCACTGTCCCCAAGCGGACAAAAAAATAAGTTAGGGCTGCCTGAACACAAAATGTTCTTAATAAGGTCTACCAAAAAATTCAGTGCTGCTCCAGAAAAAATAAACACCAGGCTCAGTTTAGAAAAGATAACACCTCTCTTTCCTGAGGTCAGATCAGCCAAATACACCAGATGTGACGCTTCACACACTCTACTCTGTCATACTTTGATGTGTCCTTTTCTGCAGGAAGGGCAAAATTGATACTCCTAAAACTCCCACCACCCCGACCAGCCCCATGTCACCCAGCTTCAGTTCTGCCGGGGGTCCGCTGCCCCCTCACCTCACTACTGGAGACTCTGTCAGAGACAAGTGCATTGAGATGCTGGCGGCTGCTCTGCGCACAGACAGTAATGCTCAGATAACACTTTATCAGTTGGAGCACACACTGCTGCAGCTCATGTTCTCTAAAGACACTGACAAAGTGACACACACAAAACAGACAAAAGAGTGGAACTATACCATACAAAGAACACACACGTCACTGTTATGTGCAAGTTAGTATGATCTTTTTTCTGGTCTTTACAGACGATTTCAAGGATTTTGGAACTAATTGTGAAAGCATGGCTGCAGAGATCGAAGATCATATCCTTGAATTTAGCTCATTATTTGTTGATGTGGTTGGTTTGACATTCTCCGATCCAAATAGAAGTTATCTCATTTGACATTATTACTATTCCCCTTGACTGCATGGTCGCACATATCTATCAGGAGATAAAGGCCACTGATATGAAATATAAAAACCGAGTCCGCAGCCGCATCAGCAACCTGAAGGACCCAAAGAACCCTGGGCTTCGCAGAAACGTACTCGCAGGAAGCATTGACTTGGGCCGCATCGCCAGCATGTCTGCTGAGGTACAGAACGCTGCAACTACACACCAAACCACTGATGAACTCCTTTCATGATGCACAGATTTGTTTTCCTGCCATGCTTTTATGCCCCTGTGCTCCATTTTGTCACATCTTTGTCTTTATGTAGGAGATGGCCAGCGATGAGCTGAAACAGCTGAGGAACGTTCTCACACAGGAGGCCATCAGGGAGCACCAAATGGCCAAAACTGGTGGCACCACCACCGACCTGCTGCAGTGCGGCAAGTGCAAGAAGAAGAACTGCACCTACAACCAGGTAAACACACACCATGCATGAAAATGCAAACAAACATACATCACAAACCTTCTTTTTTCTGTGGTGTGGAGTTTCAACAAAGCAAAACAAATCATTAGAAAAAGAGAAAGTGTGGGTGAGAGGTTACATTATGGGTTGTATGAAATAAATGTGTATTTATTTTAGATTTACTTTGTAAAACCGTGTGATTCCCTGATCTTTTTCACAGGAAGTGTGCTATAATTTAAGAGTTTTTTTGACAGTGATATTTTGTTAGTATGTGCTGTCATGAGAAGTCAGTGTTGTTTCTCTGAGGGGAAAAGCAAAACAAAAAAAAGCTGCTTTTATAAATGCTGTGGTATCATCTATCCAAGGAAAAGGCAGCTGGTAAGCCGTCTGTATTGTTGAGGTCTTACTCCATTAAGAGTGGAGTAATACTCCTAAATTAGGCAGTTAGGAGTACGTGATTGTGTTTCAGCTTTATTCAGCTCCAGCCCGTCTCTGCACTGTGATCAATGTGTTGTTTACAGCTTACAAAACCTCCTGTGTTTGTGTGTGTGTGTTTTAGGTGCAGACACGCAGTGCTGATGAGCCAATGACCACATTTGTTCTGTGTAATGAGTGTGGAAACCGCTGGAAGGTAAGTTTTCCCCAGCTTTTGTTTCAATAACTCATATTTTATGTACTGATGAATTAAAAAATACATTTTTTTCCCCCTCCCACATTTCAGTTCTGCTGATGCCTTCTGGATGAAACCACGTTTTTTTTCTGAGCATATTGAACTGCATTATTTTCTATAATGGGAGGGGAGGGAGTTTATAAATTATTGCAGCTAGTGATTCAAACAGATTAAAGTGTTACAATTTTTACTTGAAATTTTGAGATTTCTAAGCATGTGCTAATATAATAATAATAATCAGGGTTTGCTTTCCGTGGAATTGAAGACTGAGCATGAACGTCAGTTTGATGACTGTTAACACATCGGTAATGATAATGGTGCTGTCATGATGGAACGACCAGTTAATATGCGGTGTCATATTAGAGCTGTTCACTTTGTATATATATCTAATAAAACGGCATAAATAATCTGTATGATGGCTTTTTAAACTCACGTTTAATAAAAAACTTTGACAATCAGTCTCACTCAGAGTCACTTCCCACATCATTGTCATCATCCTCAACATCATCATCATCATCATCATCATCATCAGTATTTGTGGCACACGAAATATACTGTTTGCTTTTAAGTATGATTAAGATAAAATAATACTCAGTTTACGGCCTGCGGGCCAAATCTGGCCCAGGATAGGCCATCTTACTGGATTTTGTTTTTGTGTGTGTTTTGAATGCAGAAAAGGTGCCAGGGTGCATTAAAACCATCAAAATCCAGCCTGTTTATTACAAAGAAATGGCATGATAGGATCCCCCAGACCCCCCGACAGAGGTCCGGGCTAAACCCTGAATGTCCTGGAGCCTATCCCAGCTGACATAGCGCGAGAGGCAGATAGATGGGTGGACAGGTTGCCAGACTATCACAGGGCTGACACATAGCTCAGACCAGCTCAGTGGCCTTGTGGTAGAGTGTCCGCCCTGAGACTGGGAGGTCGTGGGTTTGATCCCCGGCCGGGTCATACCAAAGACTATAAAAATGGGACCCATTGCCTCCCTGCTTGGCACTCAGCATCAGGGGTTGGAATTGGGGGGTTAGATCACCACATGATTCCCGAGCGCGGCACCGCTGCTGCTCACCGCTCCCTCAGGGGATGGGTCAAATGCGGAGAACAAATTTCACACATTCAGGTGTGTGACAATCAGTGGAACTTTACCTTTACCTTTACATAGAGACAGACAACTATTCACGTGCACATTTACACCTACAGACAATATAGAATCACCTATTAACCTGAATGTCTTTGGACTGTGGGAGGAAGCTGGAGTACCTGGAGAAAACCCTCACTGACGTGGGGAAAACATGCAAACTCCATATGGAAGGGCCCCTCCACCCTGGGTTTGAACCAGGAACCCTCTTGCTGTGAGGCAACAATGGTGACCACTGCATCACTAGATGCTTATCATTTCATTTTATTTTGGCATAATAACTGAAGTTTACTACAGTTCTTTACACTCTTATTAGTATCTTGTTTGATGAAGAAAGTGAACTGAAGACAGAAATAAAAATCTTCAATCTTCAATACAATGCACTATTTATCCAAGGGATCAAAGTTTAGTTAAATAATTGATGTGCTCATAATTGTGAAAAAAAAAAAAAAATCCATAATTAATTGCACAGAAAAATATTCAGTCAAAGACAGGTGTTTTTAATAAAAAATGGTGCAACGGTGGTTTGAAGTGTTTCTGCTGCACCACTAAAAACAATCAGTAGATGGCAACAATTCATCATAACAAACACAAGCAACATCAGTTTCCCACAGTTGAATAGTTCTGTCTTCAGGTTACCGACCACAAATAAATGATACTGTTTCTTGTTAGTGCCGGTCCAGCTGGCTGGCAAAGCCAGAGGGAGGTGCTGCTGAAGACTAACGTGACAGTATTAAAGCCATTCCACAAAACAAACCTCTTTCCTGAACATTACTGAATTTGATATACTTATGCGAAATATATTAGCGCCTTGAGCAATGTGCAAATGATACTCCATCAACGCTGTGTTTTTTTTTTTTTAAAGACATCACACTGCATGCAGGGCATGCAGTATATAAATATAATGTTTGGTGGTAATGTGAGACTGTGAATGTGATGGAAAGGAAAAGCTTCCCGGCCGCCCTCTGGCTGAGTATCCACCATCTGGTTTCCTGTGAGCTGAAATCACATTCATTTGCTTCTTCTGCATCATTTCCACCATTATACGTCCTCTGTTGATGTGCATGCAGAGCTCAGAAAGCATCAGCACTGACTGTGTTATTCTACACTGGTGCATTGGTGTTACAATCATCATCGCTCTTTCAGCCTAGAATCTAAACAGAAAAATATCACCTGAAATTCAACTTTACGGCTACATGTAAACAAGAATATACAAAATAAAGCCACAAAGTTAAATTCAGTTGTTTGGAACTTCAAAATTCTGACACAAGCAAACAAAAATAAATATATTTCTCACCCTAATAATTTGCTAATGGATTCTGCAACATAAGTCCCCATATTTTTTCACTTGGTAGCAGCTGCTCTGCTCTGTGACCTCCGTGTCCCCAACAGTTGGTGAGAAGTGATGTGGGAAAATAAAAGCTGTTGAAACAATTACACTCTCCATAATATACTCCGACTGAATAATGCTCTCAAATAATGTCAACATGCATATTTAAAATAATTAACAGAGAAATTTGTCTTTTAAGAGAAGATAATTTGAAAAGATAGGTTTTTTTTTCACCTTTCTAGATTTATTATATAGCTTTATTAGCTTTCCCCAACAGTGATAATACACCACACATGTGCACTGATGTATTACTGAACGGGCCTACTGTGCACAAGCCAAGATGCCCCAGCGTCAGGGCCCCCCCTCACCAAAATAACCACAAAGAGACAAAAGGGAACTCCATAAAGGGGCAAAACAACCATGGAAAGACACAAAGCAGCTACAAAGACACACAACACAACTACAAGACACACACAACGGTCTCAAGAAGAAGACACAAATGACCATACACAAAATCAAAATGACCAAAAAAAGATCCAAAACAGCTGCAGACAAAATCACAGTGGTGGGGCCCTTTTTGCATATCTGTGCCCAGGGGCCCATTGTTTTATAATCCGCCCATACATGTGTCTGCTTTTATGCCAGGGTTGGACTTTGTAGCTCAGAGGCAATTAAATCAATCTGATGGGGTCACAGCAATGAGAGATGACATTTAGAAGACCCTCAACCTTTAATTTACAACCAGTTATAGAACAAAATTCAAGTCTGCATATCTATTAAACCGGCATTAAAATGCACTCCAGACTGATAAAAATCCATGTTTGCAGATGATCTGTTCATTTTTGTTTTTGCCAAATTCCATTTTTACCGAACACATTTTAAAAGATGTCAGCAAAGTGTTGGAATTTGGAAAAGGTTTTCCAATGAAATAGTGTTCTTTATTCTTGACATCGTACTTTGAGCTGATGTATTGAATGTGCAAAGGGATGTTTAACATTTACGTGCACTGCGTTCAGACTGAGACATTGACAGTTTGGCATTTCTGACAAGCCCAATAACTCTATAGAGTACATGCGTGCTGTGGCATACCATGTCAAGTAAATCAAAGGCACACTGTGATGTAAACTCAGTATAGATGTTACAACCTCTCTCCTGAGAATGCGTGTGCCAATCCGTCACTGACAGCCATATACAGGCATCATCCAATCACATAGCTCCGTCTGCTTCAGAACAATCAGACCTCAGGAGCTGAAGTGACAGTCAGTCAGGATGAATTTATTTCATGACATGGCAGAACATTTGGGCATAATTACATCTCTGTCAGACAAAAAAGGGCATTGCTGGAATTTTTCAACAATAACACTGCACTCAGTCGTGTGTTGACGACAGGTTAAATGCTGCTTCAACACAGTAGAGTTGACTTTATCTTGACAAGCTTTAAACTAAGTCTCACGGAGGCGAGAATCTTTGAATATATTCATATTAAAATGTGGCTTATTGAGTTGTTGACTTGCAGAAGTCTGCTTTGTCTGAAATGTTTCTTTGCAGTATTATGAGTCACTAACCTCTCTGCAGCCTCCTGTTGTTGCTGCATGCAGCCGCGCTATAAATGGAAATGGAAATAAATGAAACTAGGTAGGCATGCAGTGTCCCTGACATAACAAAATCAGTCAGGCAATTAAAAGTACGAAACACTTCAACTATAACAGTGCCCTGAACAGCATCAACTGTTTTATGTAGTTTTAAATCACTTCTCAAACCTTTTTTTAAATCCGTTATAAATGCAAGCATATAATTTTATTCCCTGTCTTTTAATGTTATTGCCTTCTTTTTTTATATTACTTTGGGATATTTTTTTCCATTTTAACTTGTATTGCTGTAATTGTCTGTCCTGAAATGTTTTTTTTAATTCCTGTTTCAAACATGTACAGCACTTTGAAACTTCATAAAGTGCTGTATAAATAGAGTTCATGTTTATTATTATCATTATTAATGTATGGCTAGACATATTCCTGTAATTTAATCCCTTTTGACAACAATGGTGTCTAAAGCAGATCATTTCTCTGATATTTACTATGATAAAGTAAAAAAAAAAAAAATCAGTGTGACAAGATTATAGCTCTTTTCACACAGAGATTGTGCTACAGGGCCGCTACGATGTCCCGTCTTTATGCTGCCTGTATATTTTCACACAGAACCAAACACCAGCAGCATCATGCTGCTCCAGTGTGTGATTTTAGACAGCATGCTAGCATTGCAGAAGCAAAAGAGGCGTGATTGATACACATGTAACACATCAGCGTCTATGTGTCATAGATGTTGGCAGCACTTTCTTAACAACAACAATGACATTAACATGGCAAAAACAATAATTTACTGTCCCTGTTATATGGCGGCTGATCTTGCACTCTGCTCAGAGGGTGGACCTCTTACACATCATTATTTTCCCAATATGTGTACATTTTTGGCTGCTGTTCTTCTTTGAGTTAGCTGCTAACTGTTTCAAGCTACTTTTTAAATCTGTGTGGGTGTCCCTTTTACACAGACATCAATTTCAGGCTATTAGCCTACTACCTCCACTGCCAACTTAAAGGTGAGACAACACTGCCCCCCATTCCGCCATTGCACCTTTTATACAGAACGGCAAGGCGGCATAACGACGTGAAATTCCCACTTTAAAGAGGTAGCGTAATAGGGGCTGAAGAGTCAATAGCCCTGCTGGTGGGTCTATGAGGCTGCACTATGTGGTCAGTTGTGCTTTGAGCTAAATGCTAACACCAACATGCTAACATGATTGCAATGACGATTCTGACGCGCCATTGTTAAAGGTCCAGTGTGTAGGATTTACTGGCATGTAGTTGTGAGGTTGCACTACTGAAACTTGTTTGAACTACAGTGGCTGATTTGAAAATGGGAATAGCCCTATCTAGAGCCAGTGTCTGATTTGTCCGTTCTGAGCTACTGTAGAAACAACATGGCGGACTCCGTGGAAGAG